CACTGGCATGCAACCTCTGGAATGCTCCTGGCGACTTCCAAATGTCATCAGATGCCTCCATGCCTTTTAAAAAGGCATGCTATTCGTCAGAGTGTCCCACTTAAGGGCCAAGCAACGAATCTTTTTTGAGCAGTTGCTGGAAAACATGGAGCTCACCTCACGTAGGGCAGGCATATTCATGATGGAACGTGGAACATGACTTTAATTGAACCGCGCTGGCATTTGTTGGTTACTGAGGATGTTTGGAATTGTTTGGAAAGGTTTTTTTGCTTTGAGAGAGTTTGAGAGAGTTTTGAGAGCTTTGCTTTGAGAGAGTTTTGAGGGAATTTGTTTGGAGAGTTCACGGATTTGATTGACCCATTCCGAATAGCCGAGTGAAATTTTGCTCAATATCAGCTGAGCCGCGTAGAGCCAACGTCCTTATAATTGTGATCATGACTGAAACTTCGAGGTTCGCGCAATGTGTTCGCTTTTTGCAAGCGGTTGCTGATGAGAGAATCTGTGTCAGCTGCTGGGCTGAGATGCTTGAGGAATACTTGGGAAGGTGGGCCATATATTGAGATTTGTTGATTAACAATGGACACCCCAGTCAATATGCAAGCTTGCTTGCGCAGGGAAGACTACATTCAACTACTTCGAGTATCGAAAGATTGTCGGTGCGATTTGGACAGCCAGCCAGAAGATGCAGAAGAAGATGCAGATCTGGATGCCAGACAGCCGTGAAGCAGAGTCTTCCTTCCAAATAGAGTTTGCAGGTGACCTTCCAGCAAAAGCGTCGGGAGGGCACCTAGACATATGACCACGATCGAATCAGAATATCCAGCCGCTGGTCAATGATCGACCAGATCGGTTGACGCATATATGGTGGGTGGAAAAAACTGTGTGTTTCTATGCGTGCCAAATGGGCTCAGGGGACGGTCCATGGTGTGGTGAGGATCGAAGCATATACGTTATATAGGTTAGTTGACAGTTCCGAGTGTTTTCTTAATGCCGCAGCCATATATGGTCATATGGTCTGGAGCTTAGAGTTTTTTGAGTTTCTGGTTTTTGAGTTTTCGGGGTTTAAATGGAAATTTCAACGAACCCCTACTAGCAAGGTTGTCAATAGGAAGACGTTGTTCAATTTGTTTGGAGAGTTAAGTCTGAGTGTTTCAAGAGGCTGAAGGCCTTCGTTTGACAGGGTGAATCCTCATCCTTTTCAGGAGCCAGTCAGCCCCTCATATACTCTCAATCCCAAAAACTCTCCATTTAGAACCCTCAAACGTTCAATGCAGACATTTCAAGAAATCCGAAGCAGCTGCGCCACCTCCTGCTGTGCCAAATTTCACCACCAGGCCTGTTCGAAGACTTGCGCATAAGCTAGGTTTGAGAGACTTAATTGCGGGTTTTGAGAGAGTTGCGCGTGAGAGTTTGAGAGAGATTCTGCCCACTGGCAATGTTGTTGTTGGTGGTGGTGGCGTTGGTGGTGGTGGTCGTGTCTACACTCGCAAGATAGTTTACTATTCCAAACAAGCTTTATTATTGGAAATATATTTTATTTTATTATTTGGAAAATATAATTTTATTATCAATAAATAAAATTTTTATTTCAAAAATAATAAATTTTTATTATCAGAAAAATAAAATTTATCATTTTTTAAAATCTATTTTTTTCATAAAACTTATGATTTTCACACATTTTCTCTTAAAGGATTCTTATGGAAGGTGTGGAAGGAAGGGACAGTGACTGCGGATTTGGTTGACCCGGAGGGCTTCACGACCCTTGATGCAAAATTGTTGTCAGCACTGTCCAACATCTGTTCAGGTGAGTTTGCTAGAAAGGTCAATACCTTCAAAGAGAAAGAATCAGCCGCCGACCGCCCTGTGAGAGGACGTCAAGTTCTTTTGATGATGGATGAATTTTTCAGCACAAATATCAAGCATGGAGCCACGTACTCATTGAAAGACTTGTTCGCTGTGAAGCTCAAGGGTGAAAACCTTAGAACCTTCATTTCGAACTGGGATACTGTGAATGCCGGCATCACCCACCCGCCGGATCCATCAGTGTTGGAAACCCTGTTCTATGAACAAGTCAAGAATGTACGGGCCATACAACATGATATCGAAATCTACAACCGTGCTGAAGAAGGAACTGATAATCATTCCTACAAATACCTTGTTGATGCTGTACAGAGATATCTCCGGAGGGAAAGGCTTGAGTCGAACCGCGACCGGATCCACAACAGCCTTGGAGGTCCGAAACCGTCCACTCCAGCAGTCGACGACGATCGGAAGAAGACTCCGTTCATCCCAAAGGGTTACTGTGTCGCATGGAACAAGGGCAGTTGCACCAAAGAGAATTGCACGTACAAGCACGAGACTCCTCCAAAGAAGACTCGAAAACCAAGTAGAGGTCGCTCCACCAGCCGTGAGGGCAAAGACAAGTCCAAGATCACATGTAAGTACTGGAAGGCCGGACGTTGCAAACGGGGAAGTGATTGTGAATTCTCCCATGCAGGCAAACAGAAGCCCCGCAAGGCCACTCCTGCCAGATCAGGATCCCGCAGTTCCCGCGGAAGCGATAAGAAGGACAAGCGGAAGAAGGACAAGAGGGGCAAGCGGGACAAGAGCGGTCGCCGATCCGGGTCCGATGGTTCTCGGAAATCGAAGGGTTCCAAGGGTTCCGGTGGTTCAAACCGTTCATCCCCCAGAGTTACGCCTGCCGCAGTTTGTCTGGTTGCGTCCATGCTTGCATCGTCCGTTGAAGGACTTGCCACCGGGAACGGTTGGCCGAGCATCGCTTGTCCAGCCAAGATAAGGGTGAAATTCGAGTCTAAACCAACAATCACCGAATATCACACATCCGGAAGTCTTTTCCCATATGAGGTGGAGAGGAAGAGTCCATCAAAGTTCTATCCCATCGAATTCGCTATGAGTCCAAACCCATCGGCCATCGAAGATTCACTCCTGTCGGCCAAAATGCTTGCCGGAGCAGTGCAGAATGAGTTGCAAGGTTTCGATGCCAAGTGTCGTTACATGTGCAAGTCCACCATAGGTTGTGACCACTGCATCCCGAAAACACTGTATGCCACACCTGCGGCCTCTGAGCAACAGGTGGAGCACTATCTCCTTTCAGGTGAGGACTGGATTGCAGATACCGGAAGCGCACAGGACCTTGCAACCAAGTACGACATTCCGGACCGATATCAGTTTTTCTCCAATCAACCGATCTCCATCATCACTGCCAATGGAGAGAGTTCGTCATACCTGCAGGGAAAGGTTAGAAACGAGACATTAGGGTGCAATTTCACACCATATTTGCTCGAGTCTACCCCACCTGTCATGTCCGTCAGGGTCAAGTGTATGGACGAAGGTTATGACTTTGTTTGGAGAGCCGGCAAGGAACCATATTTTCAAAAACCCGATGGTGTTCGAATTAAGTTAACTGTACGAGACTACGTGCCTTATGTTCCATCCAAGATCAAGAAAGCCATGCCTTGTAAGTTGCGTTCACGTCCGGTCATTGACGCTGGGATTCGTGCCGGAGCTTCTTCTTCATCGGAATGTCCGCCTTCTACATCCTCGTCTACTCCAACTCCGCTGGCCCTACCTGCTGAAGTCGCAGAGGGCTCAGATGATGCGTTGGGGGATGATGATGTGAGTAGGGGAGACAAAGAAGAAGCTAGCCGGAAGGCTGAGCCGCCCAGTGCCGCTGACCGGAAGGTCGAGCCGCCAACGGATGATTCTAACCCTAGTGATGATGCCGTGGACGATCAGGTACCAGGACCCTTGCTGGCAGAACGAGGACGGGGGGAAGCCTTGCTAAAAAGGGAAGCGAACTCAATCACCCATCTGATGACTCACATACCCAAGAATGAGTTTTGCGATGTTTGCCGTAAGGCGAAAATGATCAAATATCCCTCAAGGGCAAGGGGCGGCTCCCGTCAGATTGAGGCTGAATCTTTTGGTGATCATGTTACTGGAGACTTCCTCATCACCGCCAAAGGTGAGGAAGCTGGTGACGAGGACGAAGGTATCGGTCTTGTACTGAAAGATGTGTATTCGGGGTTCACATACGTTTACCCCTCTGCACGGAAAGATGCGGAATCGACCATCAACTCCTTCAAACATTTTGTCCTTGACGAAGCAATTGTGAAGATCTTTTACTCTGACAATGCCCCAGAACTCATCAGTGCTGCACGCACTCTCCAATGGCGACATGTCACTTCGAAGGATTATATATCCCAGAGCAATGCCGTTGCTGAGCGAACGATTCGATCGATCGTTGAGGGTACCAGGGTAAGTTTATTGCAGTCTGGACTGCATCACCCATGCCGCTAGGCACTGGTGTGTGAGCAACAACATTGCCCAATTTGATGATGAAGACAAGTCACCATGGGAACTCCGTTTTGGGGAGAGATTCAAAGGTCCTATTGTCCCGTTCGGTTGCAAGATCGACTACTGGACCGGGCCAAGAAAGCGAGTGAAGGACAACTTGAGGTTTGACCCGACTTCTGCACCGGGCATTTTCATCGGCTATATTTTGCACCCAGGCTGCTTGTTTCGGAACGAGTTTGCAGTAATGTCACTCCCAAACGTCTTGAAAGCTAGTCATGACGAGAAGATCCCGATTCTCAGAGTCAGTCAGATTAGTGTGCCAAAAGCCATCGAATTTCCGATGCAGAAAGACAAAATAATCAGGAGCGAGGGGAGATGAACTTATTGATCAACCCGAACTGCCACCTCTCGAGGATCAAGACGCGAAGATGAATCAACCAGACTCATTTCCCGTTGAGAAACTTGAGAGGGACATCAAACCCAACGCCGATGCCATTGGCGGAAAGGCAGTGTGGAATGCTGCTTGGTTGGCTTTCCTTAGGACCAAGAATCCGGACGGATCGGAAAAGCTCGGATGGTTCGCATACGGGGGGTGTCAAGTCAATCTTGAGTTGTTTGCTGGTGAATTTTGTGACCCACGTCCAACTCATGACACCAAAGATTATCCTGTCCGTTCCACCGTTATGCAGTCCGGCGATGATTCATGGCATGTCATTGAGGAAAACAAAACCATCCATCCGTGGCAGAACGAGTTCAAATCTCCACTCCCTGAATACGGGTACATTGCCTCAATCTTTTCAAAGACAGACATTGAACTTCGGGTTCGTGAAGCTGAGAAGGACAAAGATGTTGATGAAGGTGAGATTGAAGTCATCGATCCCGCCACAGCCAAAGTTGAGAGAATTAAAGCCAATGATCCTAGGTACTACAGTGCCGACGGTTTCAAGGCTAGGAGTTACAAAGGTTCTAGCAAGCCTATGCACATCCCACCGTTCGTGTGGCAACAGATGTCGGTAGGACAAAGGAGAAAGGCCATAGAGAGAGAGCAAAAGAAGATTGCCACCGAAGAGGCAGAGTCCAAGGCCAAGACGAGTACCAAGAAGAAACCTTCCACGCCGGCGGCAGCTAGCCCGCCGGAAGGCGAGGCCGAGCTCGAAGTTATTCCAGCGATGCCAACCCTCAACCGGCAACAGCGAAGGCACAGGGAGAAGCTCCTAAGTATGACAGGATGGCAACTTGAGAAAGCCGTGAATGGCCTAGTTGCACGACCAGTCAATAGAAAGGAGATATTATCTAACCCCAAAGCCAAGGAGTCGCTGGACGTGGAATGGAAGAAACTTGAGAATAAGAAAGCCTGGATCTATGAATCTGTTCGTGAGTGGTTTGACGTCGCTAAGGAGGCTAAGAAACTTAAGAAAGTACACATCGGTAAGGTTTTCGAGATCTGCGTTGAGAAAGGCTCTGAGCTCCCCGCTGGTGATCCATTGAGGAAGTTTAAGGGGAGAACAGTTTTTCAGGGCAACAACGTAAGAGATGAAAACGCCGACGTTGCTTTGTTCTCTGAGTTAGGATCGTCTCCGGCTACAATGGAAGCCGGAAAGGTTGTTGATGCATATGGTTCACAACCGGGCTTCACTGCCGAACAAGCCGATGGCAAACAAGCCTACACTCAGGCCCTTATGAAGGGAGTTGACACATGGGTTGAACTCCCAAGGGATCGGTGGCCCAAAGAATGGATCGGTAAATACAACCGACCCGCATGCAAACTCCGCATTGCCTTATACGGACACCCCGATTCCGGGGGGCTATGGGAAATCCACTGCGAACGCATGTTAGTGGAGTTGGGCTTCTTCATGCCAGATCCGGAAGGCTGGCCGTCAGTGTTCTTCCATGACCGACTGAAGTTGTTGTTGGTAGTTTACGTGGATGATTTCAAGATGTCGGGGCCCAAAGAGTCAATGAAGCGAGGATGGGAATTGATAGGCTCCAAGATCGACATGGACAAACCCGGTACTGTCGGTCGATACCTTGGATGCGGTCATGTGTTCTCCACTGGGGTAAAGCTCAGACACCATGATCATCCCTTCGCTCACGTGTTCGACAAATCGTTGCCCGATCCTGCCGCCGTTCCGGCCACAGCCGCGCAACACAGGACACAAGACTACTGGGACTTTGAACCCGGGCAAGGATATTTCATCCGACACCATGTTCAACCTCGGAAAAGCGACTTCTGGCCCGAGCCAGAGATTGCATCTGACATCAGGCTGTCCGGTGAGCGCTTGACGATCATTCGTCCATGCACACCGGAAGGTGTGGCCGAGGATGTTCACGAAGTGTCAGTCAACCACCATACCCCATGGAAAAAGCCCTTCTTATGGACGGGATGCACCTACCTTATTACCACCGAGTGCAACAATCCCCAAACGGTGCTTTCCATGGCGACCACAACGAGGAACAAGGGGGCGGCTAAAAACAAAGCCCGTAGTGCAAACTTTTCGTATCTCGACCAGCTAAACGACAAGAGTGTCCCGTGTATGTCGCAACCGGTTAACACCGTTACCTACGACGTGAAACCATCCCTCAAATCATGCGTAGACCGGTACGTTCAACTGGCTGGGGATAAAGCCCTGAAGCTAAAGCAGGTCACGACCCCATTCCATGACGAACGGATTGCACGACCGATCCAGGATGAGAAAGAGGCAAAAGGGGTCCTAGCCCCAATAGCAGCACGTGTCCTTATGAAGATATTATTTGCTGCACGTATGGCCAGGTTCGACCTTCTTCGGGCAGTCCAAGGACTGGCCGCAAGAGTCACGAAATGGTCGGCCGACTGTGATCGGGCACTGCACCGGTTGGTGTGCTATGTTCATTCCACACTCGACCACAGGATGACCGCCTTCGTAGGCGACAAAGTTGCTGACTGTAAGCTATGGGTTTTTGCAGACGCTGACCACGCCGGGGAATACGATAACAGGAGCACCAGTGGTTGCTTCCTCGTCCTTGTCGGTCCCAACACATATTACCCGTTAACGGCATTCAGCAAGAAGCAGACATCCGTCAGCATGTCAAGCGCAGAGTCCGAAGTGGTCGCAGCCAATGTCTCCCTTCGCGCAGTAGGCTTACCTTCCTCCGGTTTATGGATGCACCTCCAGAACGCGGGGGGTATTCCAAACCACATGCGCCGGAAGAATTGCAAGCCGGAAGGCTTGCCGAGACAACTTCCTATGGAGAATGTCACGACAAGTCCGAATAAGCACGGGGAGTTCTGGGAATTTGACCCAAGTCGAAGATGTCTGTCTTACATTAGCCCGAACCCGAGAAGTCATTTGTTTGTACCGTCCCACAAGGACGGGTTAACTTAACCCTAGGTATATGTTGACCTAACTGACGTTATGTTATAGTGTAACTGAGGTTATACATTTGTCTAAAACTGCGTAAGCTGCAGTAAGTGTTCGGCAGCACTTAAGCTTAGATACAGTGCACATGCTCTGTTTGTAAGTGTTTTATATCTTCTGAATCGAGATTTTGCAAAAACAACTTATTCTAACTTACTGCGCACTTAAGCATACTTACAAAACCTTGTTTTTTTTAATGTTTGTTTTTGGTAAAGTATGCTTTTTGGATGCTTTTCCTTGGTTTTTTGAATAGATTTTTTTCTGATAAAAGTTGCTTTTTGAATAGATTTTTTGACTCGGTTCATTTTGATGGCTGTATACATGCACTATCATTGAGTATAGTTAATTGTGTCAAAGGAGTTGCGCAGCTCATGTTGGCGGGGTGTCCGCTGTGTAGGAAATCCCTGCCAAGCAGGGTGTTTGCGACAGACTGAAGGATAAACATTACTCATGCAACAACTCTTTCTGGAAAGAATTGTTGCTTTGTACATAGCAAGCTGTGTACAAGCTATCCTGCCAAGCAGGACGCTTCACAGACATTCGCCAGGACAAAGTTAAGACCAGGGCCTGATCTTTACTTTGCTGACTGTCCATTTGTACATAACAAGCTTGTACAGGATCCCTGCCAAGCAGGGTGTGATAATCTCTGTCTTGGAAGGAAAAGCTAAAATGGATGGGGTTGGCTGACATCCTCTGACATCATTCTGACGACGTGTGTAGTCAGAATGTAGTCGGGCCTGACTTCGTTCTGACGACGTATGTAGTCAGAATGTAGTCGGGCCTGACTTCGTTCTG